CCCCACACAGCAAGAATCACGTCAGAAAAGATCAAAGAACTTGGTTGGGAGAAAATTCCTCATCCACCTTATACTCCCGATCTTGTTCCTTCAGACTACCATTTGTTTCGTAGCTTACAGAATCATTTGGAAGAAACAGCTTTTGTAACACAGGAAGAGGTTAAAACTGACATTTGTGAGTTCTTCGAATCAAAGCCAAAAGAATTTTACAGTAATGGAATTAATAAGCTTGTTAATAGATGGAAAGAAGTCATAGATAATCAGGGAAAATACATTGTTGATTGAATCTGTAATTAAATGTAACATTTTGTCACTTGTTTTCTTTATTAAAATTCGGACAGAACTTATGGGATGACCTGAGATATACATATATATATATATAGGCCAAAACTTTTTTGCATTTTGCACACACACACACACACACACACACATATATATATATATATATATATATATATATATATATATATATATATATATATATATATATATAAGATCAGACATTTTAGGCGCATGTTGGCTTATTCTTTAGGTCACAAATACTTTATTTTGCATATAAATAAAAAGTATAACCATTTAAACTAAAGAAATAAATCAATTTTTTCGTCGACTCTTAATCGTATTATCTTTGCCGATTTTTTTACAACAATCAAATTTTCTTTTCTACTTAAAACGTAATAAACTTTATAAATCTTGAGCAAAAATAGGAAGAAACTCTCTTGTCTGGAACATGGAACCAGTCACATATCTGAAATTGTTAAGCATTTCCTATCGTTTCCAGGCATCAGTGTTTGGCCTGCAGTATAGGCTAGCATTCGTTTTTAAAGATATCAATGTGTTTTTAATGGCGCAATATAATCTTTCTTACTCTTCTTTAGCCTTGTGTCATCCTAAGCCGAAGTTAGTCAATATTTGTATAAAAAGTGGCGAAAGACTAAAACATCTACTTTTCGGTTATGACTAGCAGCAGGCATGTTTCTTCTGAATATGTTCAAGAACCCAGATTTAAATTCTTCAATCTTTTCCTTTGCCGGAAGACTCGACGTAATTTCAAATATCGTTGCTCTCAGACAAAGGCATGTTTGTTTTTTAACAACCTCGTTTTCAGAGTTCAACAGCCTCGTTTTCAGATTTAACGTGTGTGTTAAAATAGAAGACTGTGTTCAAGTTTTCGTCGTACCGCCCAAGGCCAAATGCAGTAAACAAGTCAAGAGTTTTCTTCTTAGTTGAAAAAGAGAAACAAGAGTAGAAAATAACCAAATCCGTTTTTTCAATATATATATATATATATATATATATATATATATATATATATATATATAAGTACAGATATTTGAATCTCATTCGCTTCCTCTGTTGTCGCCATAAAAGACGATATGATGTCAATGGAGTATTAATTAACATTAAGTTTTTACTGATACAACAAAAGACGACACGTACACACATAGACACACAGACATGCAGACACTCACACGAAATACGAAATATTTTACAGAATTTCCTACTTTGCATTCTCCTTTTTTTGCTTAATTTATTTTTTGTGGGGTGGGAGAGACGCTAGGAATTTTCGCACAGACATTATTTTAACTTTGAGAGTTCATTTATTTATTTTTGTTAGTGTTTGAAATGTGGGCCGGGCCCAGACCTTCCAGCACTAATACCCTCTGTTCTCTCTCTCTCTCTCTCTCTCTCTCTCCCTCTATTCTCTCTCTATTTCTCTATATCTTTCTTTCTTTCACTCACTTACTATCTCTCTCTCGATATATATATATATATATATATATATATATATATATATATATATATACTTTTCAATTGGAATTACGATACCTTTAGTAAATGACCATTTTCACCTACGAATTTTTATTTTAAAATTCGTAGGATTTTTCAAGCTGTTTCTGGTATCGGCTTGTAGTGTACTTGTAGTGTAGTGTAGAGTATACTACAAACCGATACCAGAAACAGTCTTAAAAATTAAAATTCGTAGGTGAAAATGATCATTTACTAAAGGTATCGTAATTCCAATTGTAAAATAAATTTGCTCTTTTTATTGTGAATAAACATAGAGCGCTCTTTTGTGAGTCAGTTTTAATATATTTCAAATTCTATTTTGTGTTAATAGGACTCGCCTAGATTATACCAACGGATTACTACACACACACACACACATATATATATATATATATATATATATATATAAACACACACACACACACACACACACACATATATATATATATATATATATATATATATATATATATATATATATATATATATATTGGAATAATGTTTTGATACCACAAAACAAATATAATGATTTAAAGAAAATGAATTTCTTTTGTATGATCATTTTTTTTTTTTTTTTGCAGGACCTAGGTACCTTTTCGGCCAACGCTTCATCAGGGTCTTTCGTTGGCAAATGATTTCAAACAAACAATGGAAATGAAAAGAACGCCAAAAATGATATGGTTGGAACACGTCTAAAATTTTACGAAGATATATATACGTAAAATTAAAATAAATTACGATTAAAATAAATGCGTAAATAATGAATTAAATGAACCAACCTGAGCAGTAAAATAGAAAAATAAGTTGCTCATATATCAAAAAATAAATTTAGCGATCGTGAAAAATTCTCCTTTTGTTTAGAAAGCGATGGTTTAAATAATTTGAGGCAGATAACTTCCAAAATAGACAGATGATATTTGGACCTGCCTACGCATATAATTGAAAACGAGTCCATTGTGAAACGTTTTGAGCATGACTCATTTTCTAATAGGTGTTGCCCGATCGCCGAATCGTGAGCTGATTGCGAAACACGAACGCGACTATTTAAATTCAATCTACCCATACAAAAGAAATTCATTTTCTTTAAATCATATATATATATATATATATATATATATATTTATTTCAAAATATGATTCCATCGCTACATAAGTGTTCTCCTCGTGTTTCATCTTTTTAAAATAATAACAAAAATGCTAAAGAACTTTGGATTATTTAACTAACGAGTTCTTTCCTATTTTCTATATATATTCACACACACACACACACATATATATATATAAATTTCAAATTAACAAATTTCGATAATTCCTGTTAAAATTTTGCCTACACAGAGAAAGGTAAACTTTTGGAAAATGTTAAACAGTTGAGGGTAGATGACGGAATGAAGTGGCGCGACTCTGTCTTATCGATGGCGAGAAGTACCCGGCCAATGCAATTAGCCTGTTGCAATGTGAAAATTCGACCGGCTACATTTTAGATGGTGTGAGAAACAATCGGTTAAGAAATAAAATAACAATAAACTATGAGGAACACAGTTTCTACCCACCCTCCTAAGGCTTCTTAATATTAAAACCTTCAATTTTGACCTTCAGTTGAGACGCAATATGTTTAACTATGACCCCTGCCGACATGCTGCCTAGCGAATCCTCTAGACTCCCTCAACACCATAGCAACCCGTCTATATTAACGCCTTTTGTCAGAAGAAATTCGTTTTTTTCTTGTGAAGAGTTGTCCCTAAGAAATGTAGCCGACCAACCGTAGCTGAAGGAAACACGGGCACTTAACAAGTGAAGGGTTAGTTTAGTTTGCAACACTGACCAAGTGTTTAAAACATTAGCGTTCCGACTGTGAAACCCGGAAGACGACCCCAGCGTACGTCACCGAGGCGAAGTAGCTGAAAACCATACCACATGTTTTTTTCGGAAACTGTTCGGAGTTCGTCGAGTGTTGAAGCTAGCACAAAGTTACAAGTCAACGTGGCCGAGGGTTTCAGTGTTATGATATATTGTTGATCAGGCCATATTATGCGCGCGCTCTGTAACTAAGATCCGCTCAACATAGTTGCATTATAAACCTCAACTTGTTTCTGTGGATGTAAAAGAGAGACACACGTGCCTGAGCAGGCGTCTGCAACAGGGATAAGGTACCCGTCTGTAACAGGGATAAGGTACCCGTCGAGCAGCCAGCCGTTCAACACTAACGGAATTAATAGTTTTTAATACTTTTAAACATGCGATTTTCCATCATTCCAATATTAACAATATTTCATTATCTTTATGACAAAGTGCACTTCATTCGACGGAGGTCTCGACCAGTTTCGCCATGAGAGTTTTCCATGTCTAAAATACACAAGGTGGTTAGAGAGACCGATTGTTAACGAGTGGGTGTGACTTGTCATCGAATTTGTACAAGGCTACACATGCAAAGCACCCACTGAGGATCGTGATCACTACAGCGTGAAGGCTGGATAGGCTCGTTTATCATTACCTAACGTCATTTCGCTCAAGTTCGACACGTTTGTGCCTGTCTGTGTATCTGTATGCATGTGTTTGGATGTGCGCGCGCATGTGCATGCATGCCAGAGAAGGGTGTGGCAACTTCTGAAAAGTTTGATCTTCAGTGAGTATCCCGTGGCTTGAGATGAAAAAATGAACGAACGTATGTACGGTTCTCTTTGTGGGTATATGTATGCACGTGTGCGTTTCTGTCTGTCTATGCATGCATCTGTGTGTTTGTGTCGGGGTGAGTATTTGTATGTGCGTGTATGTACTTGTGCATACATTCTTGTACGTGTTGGTTTGTAACCATGCGTTAGTGCGCGTGCTTTTGTGCATGTGATTATGCGTTTGTTTCTTATGCGTTTTTTCGTGTGTGTACGTATGCGTCTGTACGTGTATATAGAATGTTATAAATCTTAAAATAGACATTAAAGAAAAATAAATTTAGAATAATGCAAAGCCCAAAAAAAAGTCAAATAAAATAAAAGTCAAATCTTTCTTTCTTTTTTTTTTTTTTGAATTTCACGAGCTAAATTCCACAAATTCAACATCTCCTCTTCCCCCTTCTCCTTCTGCTTCCCCCTCCACCGGATCTCCTCTCCGTACCTCCATTTCCATTTCTTAGTTTCAATTAAATCCTTCCAATTCTAACCCCGCCATTTTGGGGGCCTTCTTCAAAGAGGAATTATTGGCATTAACAGAATTTACCATTTCCTGATTCCGATTGGCGTGTCTGAGTCTCTTTTGATGTGTTCTTTGACAATTCGCCATGGGATTTGCAAAATTGTTTCAAAAGGTGTCGCAGGCGCTTCTGGGGAGAAAGCATTTGAGTCTGCAGGTGCGGGGGTGAAGAGAAAGTGACTGGGTGGGGGTTGCTGTGGATATGTGCATGGCTTTCTTCTTGCCACTGACAAACGACATACGTGTCTGCAAAACAACTTAGGAAAAGAGGTAGGACATAATGCTGGTAGCGATTTCGAACTTAGTTTCACAATTATGGCGAAAGAGGGCGATGCTGTACATATCTACGTCACAGACCAAAACAAAAATGAATTGTAGCAAACATCATCCATTATTCTCGTTTTCTTCCTCTTTTTTTTTCTCATTCTTTTACTCACTCTTTCTTTCTCTTTCGTATTTTTTCTTTTCTCTTCACTTTCTTTCTCCAACTTTCTCTCTTTTCATTCCTTGATTTTTATTTGTCACTTTTCCTTTAAATTAATTCATTTTTACACACACACACACACACACACACACACACACACACACACACACATATATATATATATATATATATATATATATATATATATATATATAATTTATATTTGGGCAGTAACCTTTCTTTGAAAAATGTTTTGTTGCATATATGACAGACGAGGATAATTTGATAATTTTTTTGTTTGGTTTCTCTAATATCCTTAAACGTTTCCGTTTTGGTGGGGATAAAGCAGTGCAAAAATTGCCAATAGTATCTATTGTCCCAAACACTTTCGGACACTCCTTTAGCCATTTTCAAGAGGTTTATTGTTGAGTATTTCTTTTCATGGTTCTCTGTTTCATATATACTGTATCATGCCTATAATAGTAGTTTCATTTACTCCGAGGGAAGCGAAAGGAATGTGGCCGGGATTAAAAAAAAAGAACATTATTTCCGCTGCTAAATAAGGTGATATTGGGTGCCAGATGTTTTATATAGAGGGCTTATCTGACCACGAGATCTTTTCGGTTACTGGATTTGTAAAGGATTATCGTTTTATCAGCCAGAACTTTTCTTACGGGTCTTCTACATTGTGGGTGGCTAAATGCCTTTTTATGGTACGTTGTTCAAATAAGGGACACATAAGGAAGTAATGGCATGACAGATATAGCTAATTGATTTATGACAAGAGCCACAGTTTTATACTGAGCACTTAAATTGATACACCATGTTGGCCATCGAGAGTTTAGATTTAATAGTGTTATTTTGATTATTTACGTTGGCGGTTTTCCATTTTCTGTAATATAAGCTTTACATATATATATATATATATATATATATATATATATATATATATATATATATATATATATATATATTTGGTTGGGTTTATGTGAGTTTGTGACCCTGGGTTTCACGTTTTTGCGATCGTCAGACAAACTGATTAATTTTTTTAAATTTTCGGTTTATGTAGATTCCATGTATTGGTGTTATTATGGGAGTGGGGGGAATCGTTGTTTTGATGTCATCGTGCTAACGCAAACATAGATGCATGTCCGTACATCAGATGAGACACACATACACACTTGCTTGTCCGCCAGGGCTCATGCAGATATAAACATATGTGGACAGTATGGGATTTGATATATGTATGTATATGTGTGCTGTTGTCTATATACATACGCATTTGTATGTTGAAATTCAAAGATTGGAAGTGTAGCGAAAATTTCTCGTCAATGTCTCGCGAATGTATACATGTCAGCAATCAGAGCATTTTTCTGTTTTATCGCTGAATAATATTTCCTCGGATGCACGTATATACGTGTGGTGGGGTCTGTGTAAAATTATGATTTTTATTTTTAATTTTTTATAAAGTTTATTTGTTATTATTTTAAAGCTGGTCATTTGCTTGTTTTTGATGACTGTGTATATGTAACTGGTAGAAATTTCAGTTTGTAATCCTTATTGGTTTTTTATCGTGGTATTAAATATGCTGGGGGGTAGTTTACGTTTATAATTATTGCGGGTTTATATGATAATAGTAGATGTGATGTGATAGTAATGTTGTAGGGAAATGATAATATAAGTAGCTAATAGTTATTGTAAATTGGTAGAAGTTATGAGTAAATGGTGGTGGGAGAATGGTAATAACAATAAATGTAATTATTGTGGTGGTAGCTTGAATTAAAAAGTGATTGTTGTTTTATTTTTTATTTTATTGGTATAAATCCTGATAATAGGTATTTATTCTCATGCCTACATTTGGAAATTATCCCTGATCTTATTGGTTTTTATTTGGTGGTATTAAATATGGTGCGGGGAGGGGGAGTAATTTACGTTAATAATTATAGTGGATTTATATGTTAATAGTAGATGTGATGTGGTAGTAATGGTGTTGGGTGTTGGTGGTAAAGGTAATATTAGTAGCTAATAGTTATTGTAAAGTGGTAGAAGTGATTAGTAATGGTGGTGGGAGAATGATAAAAACAAAAAATGTAATTATTGTGATGGTAGCTTGAACTAAAGAGTGATTGTTGGTGTTTTTTTTGTTTGTTTTTTTTGTTTTTGTTTTTTTTATCCGTTTGGTATAAATTCGGATAATAGGTACTTATTCTCATGCCTACATTTGGAGATTATCTCTAATCTTTAGTTTAGTAAATTCTTTTGCGGGGTTTACACACACACACACACACACACACACACATATATATATATATATATAATTATTTATTTAAAAATATGATTCCATCGCTACATAAGAGTTCTCATGTTTCAAAACAAGAGCCGAAAACTTCAATATAATTATTTGAATTAAATTGAATTAAAGTGCCAAGCTCTGTTCCATCTTCAAGCGAATTTTTTTCGGCTCTTGTTTTGAAACATGAAATTTTAAATAATTATATTTATGCTCTACTTTTGTATCGAGCACTATTTTTTTAGAATAATAACAAAAATACTAAAGAACTTTGGATTATTTACCTAACGAGTTCTTTCCTATTTTCTATATATTTTTACACACACACACATACACATACACACACACACACACACACATACATACATACATACATACATACATATATATATATATATATATATATATATAAGTTTCATTAAAAACGACGGACAAAGGACTGCGGTACTTCCCTTGTTGACTGCCGGGTCATGTAATACAATAAGTGTGTATTGAGCAACAATCCCTCTTTTACACATATTTCATTAAAAACGACTGAAAAGGTACTGCAATACGTTACTTGTTGGCTGTCGGGCCATGTCTTTTTTAATGTGACTTGTACAAAAAGAGGAATTCCTGCCTAAATACACAATATATATATATATATATATATATATATATATATATATATATATATATATATAGGTAACTATTCTCGTTTCGAAAAACCTTCGAATTTTTGATTTGCCAATAATCAAATCAATCTCGAAGGAAAAAAAGGTTAAAAAAAAAAGAAAGAGCTAGAAACATGAAAGTCTCTCGAAAAAATCGCACAGATACAGGTTTGAAGCCCAAATAAAAAACCCCGACACGAGTAAACAACTAACTAAAAAGAGCTCAATACAACCGTAGAGCAGACCTAGAGAAACAGCATATTTATAGGCGATATTCAGCGCCTATAAATATGCTGTTTCTCTTTTGCCTCATTAGCCGGCTTTCCCTGACGATCCGCTTAGGAGAAACCTGGGTAGGTTTGTCTGGCTCACTAGGTTTATCTATCTATCTATATCTATCTATCTATCTATCTATATATATATATATATATATATATATATATATATATATATATATATATATATGTATGTATGTATGTATGTATGTATGCATGCATGTATGAATGTATGTACGTAACCAGACAAAGTTAGATGGATATAACTAGACAGAGACAAAATGATATGAAGAAAACGACGAAGATAACAACTTGGTTGATAAACATTAAAAAGAGCTGTACCATTTCATTAAAACAATTTCCCTTTTGTTCAAGTTGTTTCGTAAAATTTCCTCACAATAAACGTATTTCTGTTTTAAGAGAACACATCTATTGTTTTGTGAATTTAACTCTAATTTTGAATAAACAAACAATATATTCAGAGATGACTGGCATTTGAGAAGACAAATACACACGTGCGTAGGCGCATACATAGTAATGTATGTCAATCCAACTGCAAAATTAAAAAAATAAAAATTTTGGAAGTTGTTAACATCAACAGCATCAGGGGGGGGGGTAATAAGAACATCAGACGGGGGTAATAGGAACATTTGATTCTAGATTGCACGTTCTAGCCTCAAGATTGTTTCACGAGACAATAGGCTACAGAATTAAAACACATTTAAAAGGACACATGGCACAGTGGATAAAGGCGTTGGTTAGATCCAGTGACAGGACCCAAAAGAGTGTGAGTTCAATACCCGGTTAAGGCAGTGGAGAACTTTCAGAGGGAAAATTAACAGGAGTTAAACATGGCACGTGGAACTAGAACAGTCTACCAGTGAGCGAAATAAAGGGTTCAGTTCGACATTCCAACCACGTGAAGGAGGCCGGAGCGTACAACGGCCGAAACGTTGTAATAAATATGGCGACAAAGACGGGGACAATAGTCCGAATAATGTAAATAATTAAAACGTTGATTCGCCGTTAATATTTCAGTCGCCGTTTAGTACAGGTTCAATAATAATAATAACAATGACGGAGCAGAGAAAGACGAAAATAATCAATGGCGGTTTTATTGAATAAATGTACTCTTTTGTAAATATACCTGTTAAAACAAGAGGTCTGTATTATTTTCATTTTCGCGTATTTTAGACGACATTTTATCTATCGCACCCTATATATATATATATATATATATATATATATATATATGTGTGTGTGTGTGTGTGTGTGTAAAAATTTACTAATTTAAAAATATGGTTCCATCGCTACACAGGAAATAACATGTTTGAAAAACAGAGATTAAAAACTTTAAATTTAATTATAGAATTAAATTAAAATCCCTAGAAGTTTCATTTTCAAATGATTTCTTTTTCAAAATCGATTGAAATGAAACAGTACTAGGAATTTTAATTTAATTCTATAATTAAATTTAAAGTTTTTAGTCTCTATTTTGAAAAC